AAGACCCTCTATGAGGTGGATTGATTCAGTGACTGGGGTAATTGGGATGGGTGTGTCAGAGGCAATGAGACTGGCACAGGATAGAGCACGGTTTAGGGCTGTTGTACATAGGGTCGCTATGAGTTGCAAACGACTCGACGGCACAGAACAAAAACAACAACATGTCTGTATAATGTGGATAATAGTTTATGTTGTAAATAAACTCTATTCCTAACAAAAAGCTTATGCAGCATGCAAAGTGACAACCAGTGTGTCATCACTGGAAATTGTTAAGGAATCAATCAGTGTTACCTAAAAAGAAATGCTAAAATCCTTACCCTGGCCCCTATGAACATGACTTTGTTTATAAACAAGATCTTTGAAGAGGTTATCTATTAACATGAAGTTATAGTAGATCTTGGGAGGACCTAATTTTGTGGCTGATTCCCTTATAAAAAGGAGAAGAAATAGAGTAATAGGAGACAGGTAGTATGCCACAGGGCTGCAGCTGTAAAGCATGGCAAGCCCAGAATCAGCAGAAGCTAAGAGAGATGCCAGATACACAGGTTCCCTCACAGTCTCAGGAGGGATCCCGGTGCTCTCAGAATCCAAGACTCCACAACTGTGAAACAATAATTTCTATTCTTATAAGCCACAAACATCACAGTTTGTGATGGAGGAGAAAAGTGAATATTTCACAGACTGCCAAAGGAATAAACATCTTCTCCAAGGTATTTCTTGGTGCAGCCGGTGCTCCTTGAAGGCAAAGATGATAAAGCTCAGTCTCCCATACTGTGGGTATGTCGTTGGAGGACATCACAAGCTTGGAAAGGTAGAGGGATGGCAAAGGAGAGGAAGACCCTCAACCCGGAGCGTGGACATAGTGACTGCAGCAATGGGCTGGCAGGTGTCAGAGACTGTGAGGATGGCATAGAGCACTTGAGTTCAGCTCTGTTGCTCCTAGTGTCACTATGAGTGAGACTCGACTTGATAGCACCTTAAGGTACCAATGGGTTTACACTGCTGTTGAGATGACTGTGACCTTTAGGACACACGCAGAACTGCACTGTAGATTTCCAAGGCTGTAAATCTGTACAGAAGCACTGCCATACATTTCTCCTGTGGACTGACTAGTGTATATAAACTACTGACCTTTTAAGTTGGCAGCTAAGCACTTAACCATGACATCACTAGGGTTCCAAGGTTCCTGATAAGCCATCTAGCTTGTTTTGTCACAATAGTCCTGGGAATTTAATACTTTAACTTTTAAAAAGAAAGGGGGGGGGGGGAACACCACAAAAACCAACCAACCAACCAACACAACAGGCCCTTGTCATAATTGCAAAACTCTAAATAGCCTAAGATAATTACAGCTAAATGTTTCATCAGGCAATTTTACATTGTTTAATACAGACTTAAATGAACCCAAACCAGTTAAGTGTTAAAATAGAGTCTACTTCAATTTAATTAGGAAAATGGCCTCTCTTGCTAGGCAATGTGTGGGCTATATTGTTGTTGTTGTTGTTATGTGCCATCGAGTCGTTTGCGACTCACAGTGACCCTATGTACAACAGCCCTAAACCCTGCTCTATCCTGCACCAACCGCACCGCCTCTGACACACCCATCCCGATTACCCCAGTCACTGAATCAATCCACCTCATAGAAGGTCTTCCCTTCCTGCGCTGTCCCTCCACCCTACCAAGCATTATGTCCCTCTCCAAGGACCTGTCTCTCCTTACAACATGTCCAAAGTATGTCAGATGAAGCCCCAGAATCCTTGCCTCCAAGGAGCAGCCTGGTTTAACCCTCTCTAGGATGAATCTATTTGTTTTCTTGGCAGTCCATGGTACATGCAGTATTCTTCTCGAGCACCACAGCTCAAAGGCGTCAATTCTCCTTCTATCCTCCCTAGTCATTGTCCAACTCTCTGATGCATAACAAGTGATTGCAAAGACCATGGCCTGTATCAGGCGCACCTTAGTCTTCAGAGAGACACTGTTGCTCTTGAGTACTTTAGAAAGGTCCCTAACAGCAGACTTTCCCATCGCAATACGTTTCTTGATTTCCTGGCTGCTGGTGCCAAGAGTGTTGACCGTGGAGCCGAGCAAACTGAAGCTGTGAAAAATCTCAATCTCTTAGCCATCCATCCTGATGCTACCAATTGGTCCAGTGGTGAGAATCTTTGTCTTCTTGACATTGAGCCTCAGTCCATACAGAAGGCTGCAGTCCTTGACCCTCTGCAGCAAGTGCATGAGGTCCTCCTCAGTTTCAGCAAGCAGAATTGTATCATCTGCATAACGCAAACTGTTAATAGATCTTCTACCAATCCTGATGCCACAATTCTCCTCATAGAGCCCAGCCTCTCGGATAAGCTACTCTGCATACAGGTTGAAAAGATATGGAGATAGGACACATCCCTGGCATACACCCTTCCCAATTTTGAACCATGCAGTGTTGCTCTGCTCTGCTCTGTTCTGACGACTGCCTCTTGGTCCAAGTATAGGTTTCACATTTGCACGATTAAATGTTCTGGGATTCCCATTCTTCTCAGAGTCAGCCGCAGTTTGTTATGATCCACGCAGTCAGATGCCTTTGCATAATCAATGAAACACAGATAGACATTCTTCTGGTATTCCCTGCTTTCAGCTAAGATCCATCTAACATCAGCTATAATATCCCTAGTACCACGACCCCTTCTAAACCCAGCCTGGACTTCTGGTAGTTCTCTGCTGATGTACTGTTCCAGTCGTTTTTGGATAATCTTCAGTAGAATCTTGCTTGCATGTGAAATCAATGATATTGTTCTATAGTTTCCACACTCAGTTGGGTTGCCCTTCTTTGGGATGGGAACAAATATTGACCTCTTCCAGTCAGTTGGCCAAGTGGCTGTTCTCCAGATTTCTTGGCACAACTTAGTGAGCACATCTACGGCAGCATCTGTTAGCTAAAATATGTCAAGTGGTATACCATCTATTCCTGGGGTTTTATTTTTTGCTATTTCCTTCAAAGCAGGGGCTATATTAGTATTAGTAAAAAATATGAGCCCATTGCTGTTCAAGAAGGAACCCATTCACAGCTGCCCCTTCAGGTTTTCAGAGGCTGTGAACTGTTCACCTTTCTCCCTCAGAGGATTTGAAGGACCAAGGAGGTGTCACATTTTGGACAGTAATGCAATTTCGTACAGAGGTGGTAGCCAGAGCCCCGTGTATTAACATTAGCAAGAAGAAACTACTTTCTATTATATTGGAGAATTGAGGACACACTACTCTTTAGAATTATCTGACCACTTGATCTTTAGTCCATCAGATGAGATATGGTCTTGGTGGAGCAGGACTAGTTTCAGTTCTATCTCTATAAATCCATCTTCAGATGTTGTTGTTAGACACTGTCTAGTCAAATTCGACTCACAGTGATCCTATGAACAACAAATATGCACTCCAGACTATCATATGCCATCCTCATGATCGCAGTTGACCCCCAGCTGCAGTCACTGTGTCCATCTAGGTCACTGAAGGTCTTCCTTTCTTTTGCTGACCCTCCACATTTCCAAGCATTACGTCTTTTTTTAAGTGGTAAGCAGCTGCACTGCCAACCCAAAGGCACACAGTTCGAATCCACTAGCTACTCCATGGAACAAAGATGGGAAATTTGTTATCATGTAATTTATTGTCTCTGAAAACCCACTAGAGGGTCAGCTATGAGTCAGTTCTGACAACAGTACGTAACAACAACAATCTTCAAGAGTACACAAAATGCAGAAGCACAGCAACAGGTGAACATCTTACCCAGGCTAGCAGACCCCACCTCAGAGAGGGAAAAGCTTCCAGGAAACAAATGCATTTGCACCTGTGTTGGCAGTCATTGCTTCCATATCCTTTGCTACATGCACATGAACCTCCAGGATAACACAGGTTGCTGTGGGTCTTCTCTAACTAACCCACAGTCCAATTTGCTACTTTCCAACCTGTTTTCCCCTGAAATACTGATCTTTCCTTTAGGGGTATTTGCCTTTAACTGTCCAAAAGCTTAAGATACAAAGCAGAGACACAAATGTTAAGGAATACCAGACCTTGCATTTTCCATGCTTTTTGTTGTTCCTCTTTGGCAATTATCTCCATGTCTTTGTCATAGATGTAGTCCTGACACAAAAAGCAGTATATCCCTCCATGCACGAGGTCTATGGCTGAAGAGAGGAAAGACAGGAGTGGGAGAAACAATAATTAATTGCAAATAAAAACTTAACACTTTAAGACAGAGGTTTAATTAAATTTCTGTAGACATAAGACTGTACATACTATTTCCCAAGTCTCAAGTCATATAAAAACTCTTAAGAGAAGCACTCTTTCCTCTCCAGAGCACTTATCCCAAGCAGTAGAGAAGGCACACATCTGCACTCTGGAGGTGTACAAGAAGTATGAGCAAGAAAGAAGCTGTATCCACACTGTTTGAAGTACCTGACACTTCATCAGCTGGACCCTCTGCCTTCCTCCCTACAACTGAAAGGCTTAGAACAAATGCAACAACAAATAAATTCAAGAGAAGAGTCAGTTTTCTGCCTCCAACTGTGTTTCACTGTATGCAGGGTTTCTGATACTACAAGGAGGTCTCCAAAAGCAGTCTATCCACATGTGCAATGAGGGTAGGAACTTCCTGCCATCTAGCTGGTTCTGACTCACAGGCTTTGGAAGCTCTGAATCCTGGCAGGGTCTGCTCATCCTTCTGCAGAGCTGCCAGATGATTCCACTCACCAGAGGCGTGAAGTCATTTTGTCAGCAGTACAGCCCAACTAGGACACCAGAGCTCCTCTGTTTTAAGGACACTGGACAATTACTTTTTGGCCAGATGATTTCTGCCACCTGTCTGCAGTTCTTAAACATTGCCTCAACTGCACCATCTAAAAACAAGGTCATACCTACATCAATAGGGAGCTCTGGTGGCCTAATAAGAAGAATCCCAAAGGAATGTCGTTCAAATCTACCAGCTGCTCTGTGGAAAAAGAAGGGCAATCTCTTCCCATGTGATTAACTATCTCTGAAAACCCACTGCAGGGTCAGCTAGGAATCTGTTCCAATTTAATAGCACACAACACCACCATCTATGCTACTTAATGCACTATGAAGACCAAGGCTCTGAGTTCCTCAGAAGAAAAGCACTCTCTCAATTCAACCAAAAGAAAAACAGGAAATTCATGAAAAATTATCAGATGTTTGGGAAACAATGGATTATCCAACAAAACTCAATCATGGAAAATAATGGACTTCCAAGTTTACAGCCTTCAAGACATCCTACAAATCTGGAACTGAAACCAAACCTAGAGATCACATACCAGCTAAACAATGGAAACCAAATCCAATCCCTGTGGCTCATGGGGATCCTCCACTGGGTTTCCGAGGCTGTAAATCTTAACGGGGAGACCGTTCAAATCCACAAGCTGGTGGATCACTTAATCCACCAGGGCTCCTTAACGAGGAAATAGACAGTCTTACTATGAAAACAGTAATACCCATGAGGAACATGCTTCTCAGATCAACCAACCAAGGGAGCTGCATCAAACCAAAGAGCAACAGCTGCCAAAAAAAAAGTTAAGAAGGCAGGAAAAGACTAAACAGACAGTAGAAATGGTAAACATGTGCACACCCATGTTTACTGCAGCTTTGTTCGCAATAACAAAGAGCTGGAAACAACCCAATTGTCCATCAACAAACAGATAGATAGAGAAGCTCTGGTATATTCACACAGTGGAACAATGGAACTGTGCAGCATTGAAAAACAAGAAACTCCTGAAATATTACACAAAATGGGTGACCACAGAGGACATAATGCTGAAATAATATCTCAGTCACAAAAGGACCAATATTATACAGTGCCACTTTTGTAAAACGGGACTGGCAATGGGGGTGGTGGAAGACTGAGAAAGATGGGATAAATTATGTATATTGCACTGAAACAGATGAGGGAGAGAACTGTTTTTAAAGGATATATGATTGGGTATTATTGTCATGACAGGAGTCCAGAATGAAGGTTGCACAGTGGAGTGGACGTGGGGGGAGAGATTGCATAACAATGAAAGTTTTACTTTTCAAGGAGAAGAGTGAATTAGAGGGGAGGGAATAGGCTGAAAAGAGAGAAAAGTGACAACAATGAATGAACGGAAACCCTAAGACTTTGTAAACTTTCATTAAATTAAAAAAAAATGGGAAACATGGAGAAGAAATGGGAAGATGGGGCTGCAACTAATGTTGCTGCAGGGAAGGCTGGGTTTTCACAACAGCTTTCCCAGCCCACAGGTTTTGATTTTCACATGGCTGGGCAGAAACATGAAAATATGGTGTGGGTGGGTATACAATACAGAGAGGACTAGTCCATTTTACCATCCCACTAGGCTTAAATGGTAAAAAAAAGGAAATCTCACTCCTAGTAGTTCCGGTGGTCTCGTGATTTAGGAGCTAAACTGCCAACTCAAAGGCAGGCAATTCAAATCCACAGCAGCTTCATGTGAGAAAATTGGGCATGATCTCCTCTTATATGGTATTGCCTCTGAAAACACATTAGACGGTCAGCTTTGAACCAGTTCTGATTCAACAGCACACAACACCACCACTACCAGTGGAAGGTCAGCTATGAGTCAGTACCAACTAAATAGAACAAGCAACAGATTCATATTACATATTATCTGCTTTAGGAATCACATGGACAAAAATAAACCAAAGGGTTCCTCCTAATGAAATCCTTCCTGTTATCTTAATGGAGCTAACTGAAACATCAGCAGTTCAACTCTCCAGCCAATCTTGGAAACCCCACAATGGGGATAGGAACAAACTCCAGAAGAGTGTACTATTTGTTTTTGTTTTGTCTTCTGAGGATGTGTGTCTGTGTGTGTGAGGGAGAGAGACAAAGAAAGAGACAGACAGACTAGGGATTTGTTAGTTCATTACTGATCAGGATATCTATTCCTGATACAAACAGCATACACACATCAGAAACAGAATAAAGTGATCCACCTCTCAACCTTAGTTTCCTGTGCACACAATTACCAGGAGGCTGGGCTCTATGAGGAGAAAGTTTGGCATCAGGATTGGTGGAAGACTCATCAACAATCTGTATTATGCAGATGATACAACCCTGCTTGCTGAAACTGAGGAGGACCTGAAGCACTTGCTGCAGAAGGTCAATTGCAGTGTTCAATATGGATTGAGGCTCAGTATCAAGAAGACAAAGATTCTCACCACTGGGCAAACTGGCAGTATCAGGATGGATGGTGAAGGGATTGAGATTGTTAACAGCTTTAGTTTGCTTGGCTCCACAGTCAAGACTCTTGGCACCAGCAGCGGGGGGGGGGATGAACTGTGATGGGAAAGTCTGCTATTAGAGACCTCTCCAGAGTACTGAAGAGCAATGGTGTCACTCTTTGCAATCACTTGCTATGCATCAGAGAGCTGGACAATGATTGGGGAGGATAGAAGGAGAATCGATGCCTTTGAGATGTGGTGCTGGAATATTGAATATCTATTGGACTGCTAAGAAAAACAGCTTCATCCTACAGAGGGTTAAACCAGGCTGCTCCTTGGAGGCAAAGATTCTGAAGCTTCGTCTAACATACTCTGGACATGCTGCATGGAGGGACCAGTTCTTAGAGGAGGACTTCATGCTTGGGAGTGTGGAGGGACAGCACAGAAGAGGAAGACCCTCAATGAGGTGGATTGATTCACTGACTGGAGTAATGGGGGTGGGTATGCTGGAGACAGTGAGACTGGCACAGGACAGAGTAGAGTTTAGGGCTATTGTACACAGGGTCCCTATGAGTCTAAGGCGACTTGATGGCACATAACAACAACAACATCTACCTTTTAAAACCATACTATGCAATTTCTGGGCTATTTCCAGGCTGGGAAGATGAGCAGAACAACTTGGGGTTGAGACTAGGGTGTGGCTCTAAGCTGACTGAATTGGGCCTCGTATTTAAAAAGGCTTTTGGTTCTTCCAAATAAAATAGGCTTTGAAGCAGAAGTGGCATCCTCTTCCAAGAAAGCTTGCCTCCAGAACCTCTTATGAACTTGGAGAAAAGATCAAAGTTTTGGGTTCAAGACTTTCGTTCATAGGGTCAGTATGGGTCGTCTACAACTCTATGGCACTTAACAACAATGCTATTTCTATTCTTCTGTACATATATTTTACATACAAAATATAATGAACTAAAGTTGCTTTAAAAACCTGTAACTCTTTAAGAAAATTAATCACTAGACCTGGGAGCTCAGAGACATAGTCATGGAGGACAGCAAGGGCAGCTGTCATAAGGCCATCTACAAAGACAATGATCTAGTTCAGTTTTGAAGAGCAGTGATGAGGGTCTTTAAAAAGCTTACAAACCGGCATTGAAGTCTATGGGGGAGAGAATAGTCTAAAAGTATTATATTTTAGGGCATTATTTTTATCGTAGGAGTATGCAAGGAGGGTTGCAGAGTGGATTATATTTGGGGGTACGGGGTGGGGTTTGGGGAGGTGCAGGGGGTATTGTGTACCAATGAGGGAGTTTTTCTTTTGCTTTTCAAGTAGAGGAGCAAAGG